AAAAATAAGTTTACTGTTGTGTCCTTTTGAGTGTTGTGAAAATCACACGCTTCACAAGGACGCCTTAGGTCGATGTAATATCTAAGAGAAAATAATCTTACTTTGGTGTCGTTTTGAGTGTTGTGATTTTCCGTGTATTCCGCACTCCTTCACACGCTTCAGAAGGACGCCTTCTGTTGTTGTAATATCTAAGAGAAAATAGTCTTACTTTGGTGTCCTTTTGAGTGTTGTGATTTTCCGGGTATTCCGCACCCCTTCACACGCTTCAGAAGGACGCCTTATGTCGATGTAGTATCTAAGAGAAAATAAGTTTACAGTTGTGTCCTTTTGAGTGTTGTGAAATTCACACGTTTCAGAAGGACGCCTTCTGTCGATGTAATGTCTAAGAGAAAAAGTTTTTACTGTGGTGTCCTTTTGAGTGTTGTGATCTTCCGGGTATTCCGCACTCCTTCACACGTTTCAGAAGGACGCCTTATGTCGACGTAATATCTAAGAGAAAATAATTTTACTTTGGTGTCCTTTTGAGTGTTGTGATTTTCCGGGTATTCCGCACTCCTTCACACGCTTCAGAAGGACGCCTTCTGTCGATGTAATATCTAAGAGAAAATAAGTTTACAGTTGTGTCCTTTTGAGTGTTGTGAAATTCACACGCTTCACAAGGACGCCTTATGTCGATGTAATATCTAAGAGAAAATAATCTTACTTTGGTGTGCTTTTGAGTGTTGTGATCTTCCAGGTATTCTGCACTCCTTCACACGCTTCAGAAGGACGCCTTCTGTCGATGTCATATCTAAGAGAAAAGAAGCTATTCTATGCCACCGTATTTAAGAGTATCCTTTTTTCAAAGGACCTTATTTACGGGTATCCTTGACCGTATTTAAGAGTATGCTCTTTTGGAATCACCGTATTTCAAAGTATCCTTTACAGTATTTAAATGTTTCCTTTTTTCAAATGGTCTTATTTAATGTGTATCCTTGACCACATTTAAAAAAATATTTTTCCATATGATCTTAAATATAAGTTACAATGGCGTGTTTTTAGGAAAAGACTACTTCTCGGGCGTAGAGTGCAGCTCACGGCCCCCTCACAGCCCAAATTACATACATTTATTGTATTTTATGGGGTCCTTCTCCGCCCGGGATATAGTCTTCCCCTGTATTGTATCTTGCATTCACTTTGAAACCCATTTGGAAGCCAATTGTTCAATGTCTTCCACTTCTAGAATGGAAAAAATTAAAAGAATACATTCTGCATAACTTTGAAAAGCTCAAGGTCGTTTTCTTTTCGATACGATATACCCGCAACTTCTTAGTTTGTCTCAGCAGARAGAAAATAAGTTTGAAACTACACTAAGTACATTTGTGCCTTGCCGTGATCTTAAGAGTGTAAGGACAGTAACCATGCTCAAGGAGAAACTGTGAGATTCGAAATGCGTGTTACGAAATTGATCTACTATCCATATTGAAAGACATCGTGTGGGGACAGTCCTTACAATTATATTTTTAGATATTATGGCGATGAATGTTACAGCATTAACAAAGATCAGACCGCATTGGACTTAGCATGTTTGGTCTGGTTTTGTGAAGGGAGGACACTCTTTCAATCTGCAAAGTTAGCCCCAGGATTTCGCCGCCAAAAGTCCAATTGTAGAACCAAATTCCTTGGGGGAGGGGGAGGTGTAATTAATAGCTTACAAGAGTCTTTCGGGTGAAACATTTCATGCTCGTAAAACCAGTATTTTTAACGACAAAAACAAAACAAATGACACCATTGTTACGTATTCAACTTGCTCTTTTAGATTTTGATAGTTTTAACCCTAAAATCCAAAATTGTGGAAAATCCCAATCTGGATTAACTCTTTGGATCGGACTCTTTCTAAGTGGAATGTGGGATCAAATAAAAAAAAGGTCTTTAATAATCTAACTTAAAAACAATATAGAAAGTTGAACAATACTTGAAGAATTGCTTTGACGCTGTTATTTTTATAAATTGCTGATAAACATGGCTTTTATGAAAAGAAAACGGCTAAGAGAATATAGTGAGAATCTGTAAATTTATGACACTTATTTTGCCATTTTATTTCATTTTTATAAAGCAAGAAATCAAAAAAGACGTTCGAACATCCCTCACCTGTGACCATGAAGATCATGTGGTAAAACTGAAAAGAGAGCGCTCGTACAGTTACCATAGATACCGCAATATATGGTAAAAAGAAAGTCTTTATTCCAAAGGAATGGATATTCTGTATAGTATCCATGCTATTTAAGTGGAAGCAGAAAACGTGCGTAGTAATTTGTATGTGTGTTTAAAAAAACATATATGTATGTATGCGTTTATTATTATAATAATTAAAATTATTATTAATATTCTAAATTATGGACTGCCTGTGCTGTGAAAAAGGCAAAAGATAACAAACACAGGGAGCCCAATTTCGTTTTCTACATTGTTCTGATTCAACTTAGAAATCAGATTGGTACTTTTACTCCTTTGGACTGGCTACTTTACTTTTTCTCAAAACAAGGCATATTATGTTAATTYATTATATGATAACGCTAAATGACCGGCAGCCGGCCATTTAGACATTCCTATACTAAATTACACTATAAAATAGTGACTTTTTCACGTGCATCCATTGGAAGGTCACCCTTTTCCAAATCGGAAAACGTATACATTTTGGTCAACTCAACTGACCAAAACAAACAAATCAATAAATAAAACAGATCAAAAGTAACTTATTAGACGAATATGGCCGTCATAGTTTATTGGGAGCTTTAAAGGTCCTTTCACTGGATTTGAACTATAAAACATGAGATTATGGTCAAGGATCTACTTTTTCACATCCATTGGAAGGTCACCCTTTTCCAAATCGGAAAACGTATACATTTTGGTCAACTCAACTGACCAAAACAAACAAATCAATAAATAAAACAGATCAAAAGTAACTTATTAGACGAATATGGCCGTCATAGTTTATTGGGAGCTTTAAAGGTCCTTTCACTGGATTTGAACTATAAAACATGAGATTATGGTCAAGGATCTACTTTTTCACATCCATTGGAAGGTCACCCTTTTCCAAATCGGAAAACGTATACATTTTGGTCAACTCAACTGACCAAAACAAACAAATCAATAAATAAAACAGATCAAAAGTAACTTATTAGACGAATATGGCCGTCATAGTTTATTGGGAGCTTTAAAGGTCCTTTCACTGGATTTGAACTATAAAACATGAGATTATGGTCAAGGATCTTCTTTTTCACATCCATTGGTGGTCATAGCTAACATTAACGTAAGATTAGTCAGTTTGAGTTTATTCTCACAGAGATATTCTCTATTTGATGATTGAATTAATTTTTTACAAGGATCCTGGGTTGCATCATCGATTTCTGTATTGAACTTATGTCGGCAACGAAACGCATTTCAAATTAAGGGCTATGAAATAAGGAAGAGATGCTGTAGGCTTGATAGGCTCTTAAAAAGGCCAAGTTCAAATTGATAGTGCTTGTCTTTCTTCGCGGGACACAGAATAAGAGCGAATTCCAATTGATTCAAAGTATTCTATTTTCGTAGAGAAATATGTTTCCTGCGATTCTTAACAGCTCAATAGAGAATTTTGCTTGATAGATTAAATAAATTCAGACTGAAAAGCTTTTTGAGTAGGTATAACGTTTGGGCCACCCATCCAAATACAAACCCTCCTTAGACGGGCTTGACTCAGTATCTTCGATGCCCAAGTTTTTCCCATTGGACCACACTTCAATATACGCAATCAGCATAACAATAGCCGTGAAAACAATGCACCAGATAGACTAGACTTTTTGATGATATTTTCTCAACCGATTCCGTGCGTGGCAGAGATGCAAGGGATTAGCCGATATGGTCTGGGGGCCGGCTGTTCTCTCCCCTGATGCTTCGGCTAGAACATTTTCTTGCGTAATTCGTACACCCAAGGGCAGAAGGATTTAATCGCCGTCAGGTCCGAAGTCCATACGCCGCCTCAGCTCTGCGGATGTCTCGGGGGTATGGCAAAGTAGAATCGATTTTTTTGAGTTCTTTTGGTGGGTTCGAATCCCACGTTATGCACAAAAGATTGTTCTTTTTTATACATTTTTTATTATAGCTTCAAATCTTTAGTCGCTTATAACGGGTTCGATCAACATTATCATGCATTTTAGCAATATCGATCTACGAAAAAGTAGATGTTTTCCTGTCTTTCCTAACTTAACATATTTTCTTTTTAAATTTCTATAAACGTTTTCCGCTTTTTATATACATAGCTACGTAGCATTGCCCAGTCCCCGTGAGGGGGTGTGAATGGGGATAAGAGGGGTGTGAATGGGGATACCAGAGTCGGTTAACTTTACTAATTTTTAAGTCAATTATAAGTTAACCGGTTAATAATTTTACAAGCGCTGGCCATAATATTAACAATATATGTATATATATATATCAGTTATTAAATAGCTGTTATTGACAAACTTTTAGGGAAAATGTCAGTTAAGTACTTACTACATCCACACCTTCAGAAAAGAGTGGTCATTTTCAAACTTGTCAGTTTTACTCTACAGGTGTCCCACTCAAAAAAATGCTTATAGTTTCGCCCTAAAAATTTCTTTAGAAATGTGATTAAGCTTGTCTTTATTCGGTTTTATAAATCACAGATTGAAGGAAACAATTTATGCAAATATGCTAAACGAACATGTAATGTCACAAGTCAGAGGAAATAATGGTTTCGTTGAGCTCTAGTCGCGATCATCTAACTAGACCTACTACCGTAATCTGGTTTTATCCCTTTAATACTAAAGAATTGCAGATCCTGCTTAATGAAAAGAAGTGATTGCGCTGTTGTCACACTGCTCCTCTACTTGGCACAATTTCTGCATTTTCAGATAAGGAAAATAAAGAGGAAACGAAACTCATTTTAAGACTGGTTTCACACAGGCAACCCAGTAAAACAAATTCACTTGAAACACGTGAGCCCGCACTCATGTAGGTACAAAATGGCGGACGGAGACGTGAAAAGAGTGAAAGAATTGATCGCAAAGAAAGATGAAATAGAAAAACAAATCAAAGAATTCCAAGAGGTTCTTGAATCAGTAAGAAATATTATATTCAACGACGYCCGATTAACGTATGTCTATTTTACTTATTTCTGATATTTTCCAACAGCAAAAAGGTGTAGGAATGGATGGTAACCTTGTCGATAGTGAAGGTTTCCCACGCAGTGACATCGATGTTTACACTGTCAGGATCGCAAGAAATAAAATAATTTGTAAGCATTACCATCTTACTAATTTGCCATTCAATTTGACTTGGGACTACGACTATACAAAGGTTTCTGAACGTTCTGCATTACCATTTGTTTTAATATTACTTTAGCGTTGTTCGCAAAATATTCTGCCGAGTCATAGAAATGGTTACAAGTACGAGCTCAAAATATTTCTTAGAAATCTTTTAAAACTCACAACTTATACAACTATTCAGTTTAGGAAAGTTATTCTTTTCAAAATAGAGTTTTGAGGAATTCATAAATGTCACTGGTAAATACATACAGGTATTAGGAAAAGAAATATTAGTGAAGGCGGACAACACCTGTATACTGTATATCTTAAAAAGTGAAAATGGTTGGATAAAACGTAACAGAACTAAAGATAGTAATTATGTTAGGAGTTGGAGTTCACTATCAATAAATGTCACTGTCTATAGACACCATCTATACACTGTCTCTTTGATTTTTGCTTCTATAGAGTGAATTGCTTTTGGACAATACGCATTTGCTTTTAGGTTTACAGAATGATCACAAAGCATTAATGAAAGAAATAGAAGATGGTTTGCACCAAATACATGCCATGGCAAGAGAAAATGAAAAAGAAGAATATGAAAAACCAAAGCTGGGTTAGTACAAACCAAAAAAAATGTGTTGGAAAATGAAGTTATTCATCATTTTCTAATAAAATTTAAATACTACTGTGCCATYTTGAAAGTTACAGTCAAACCAAGCCTGAACATGTAGAGGTCATTCAATCTGAGCATTCAGTTTTGAAAATAAAGTCTTCGATCTTCAAAAAAAAAAAAAGTTTGAAAATTCAATTAACTTGGCTCATAGGCTCTTGTTTATAGAAGAAACAGAAGGTAAGTCATTAATATTTGATATTCCTTGCACAAAAAGTTGCTCTTGCATTTCAGCTGCATATATGATTGGCTTTTGTATATGCTAGGCTCTGAAGACTTTGTTTCAATAATGAATGTTGAAATCAAATATTGAAATCAAGAATCCAAAAATAAAGTCAATAATGACCTCTATGTGTTCACGCTTGAGGTGGTTTGACTGTAACTGTGCCTGTGCATCGAAGCGAGAGCAGTGGTGACCTTGCAATGATCATAGAGACCATTTTTAACACCTTGGCCTCTATCATTGCCAGGTCAGTGCCATTCTTGCTTCAATGCATAGGCGCAGTTACCTTTCAAGATGGTGCAGGGAACTGTGAAAGGGACTCTTTCTAATTCCCCACAAAATTAAATAGATTTGATGATGTTAACTGATCTGATGGTGGTGTCATATCTTTCCCAGATGAAACAGCAGACCTGGTACCATTTCTGAAAGTAGGCTCTGTGACAGATGGATCACCAGCTTGTCAGGCAGTTAGTATTGTTGATTATACTTTATTGCTTAACTGTTATATTCATCCACCCACCCACCCA